ACCTCAAAGTTTGATGCAGAAACGCATGATCGCACCGGCTCGCCTGGTGCGTTCCAGCCTGGGTTGTCTTCTTTCACTCATTTTCACCCCTTTTTCCCAAGCCAGTAATTTTACTGTGATATGAAACGATGAAAGCTGTCTGTTTTATATTAACTCGTCACTGTTCAGTTGCTTTTGGCTGCGAGCTATATACTGAAATTAGTGAAATTACAGGTTGTGAGATGCCGAAGGTAATTGCTGGGTGCGGTGAGTGGCGGCCTGTTCAGATAACTGGCGATTTGGTTGGCGATGAAAATCTCGTGTTTCTGTCGACCGTTGAGGAGTGCTTGCCTATTGAAGTGGACGGAAGCGGAGGAGCTTCTCGGCCAAAAGTATGTTTTTTTAAAACTCTTCAGGTGGTCATCGTGGAGCGGCCAGTGTGATTAGGGCACTGACCAGCGGGAAAAGCGCTTGGGCCATGAATATGCTAGATTGCTTTCCGTGGTAGAGGAATGAATGTTGCCTTGTTCTTTCCCATAGAAGTGCCTGGGGCTGTAGAAGTATGCTTCGAACTGATATGTTCGGTGCTGATTAGAATCCCTCCGGTTCCTTTCGTATCGGATTTGAGCGGTTGAATGGAAATGGTTCCCCGTACTTCTTCGTTCATCACTGTGATACTTGCAGGATTTCGAAGCTAATATCGGTGCAGCCTATTTGATGTATGGGATATGTATACCAGGATTCTTACAGTTTTGTCAGGCCTCTTGAAGGGGGCGGGGGAGGGGACGATTTCTCACCTTCCCTTTTCCCTTTGTCATTAAACCCTCCCCCCCCCCCCTTGGGCAGCTGCCAGCCCACCCTTTAATCGTCGCGCTACCCCGCCATCACCAACGGACACTGTGCTGAGTCTGATAAGGCTCTGAGAGAGGGGAGGGAGCGGGACAGGGGGTACCGAGCATACTTTTGTGTAGTAAAACAGCTGCTATCGAAGCTGCTGAAAAGCCCTTCCCCCTTTCCCTCTTGGATCAGTCGATGGTCATCAGGCTTGCTTGTTGGGGGTACGATAATTGCGATGCTGTAGCGCGCGGCTATGCACATTTCTAGCTGCGTTTAAATATCCGAAAACAAAAATCCCTCCGTATTTCGCTTTCGGTAAGAGACATAGACACTCGGGAAGAGAAGCCCATTTGCTGCTGCAAATACCAGCAGTTGCCAGACGCTGGCAAAGCTATCGATAGTCCCCTCTTCAAGCAAGCTGTTATCGGGTTTCACTGCTTGATATACGCAATGGATTTAGATGTAATGGATAAAAATTTTGAAAGAAATGAAAAGGTTTCATGCAGTACATATGCATCTTCACTGTCCCCGCATTTGACTTATCTCTCCTTCAACCGTATTGCTCTTTTTGTTTAATGAAATTTTATAGCCGCATTTTTACAATTTTAGGGAAAAAGAACGAGAAAGCGAAAGGCGGAGAAGAAAGATGGGCTACTAGCGGACCCGCGAGAATTGCCGAGAAAAAAGAAAAGACCGAAAAAAGAGAGGAAGGACGAGGTAATTTGATTGCTTTGTGTAATATGACCGTTTTTGGAATCGGTAATTTTTTTTTTCAGGTACATGCTTCCCCCGAACATCCTGAAGAATGTCAAAACTCTAAAGAAATTTGGGAAACTGCGCAAGACGGCTGCGGTATGTTGATGTATCTCTTAAAATTTCCGTGAAAGCTATTTGTGGTGAAGATTCAAAAAAACAGTCATATGAGGCATCC